GGCCCCCCCCCCCCCCCCCCACTCCCAAAAAAAATAACCTCAGATCATTCATCTGCAGTTGTTGCAGATTTAAACGATTTCCGTCGCAAATTTCTATGATAAAGGATAAGTGAGAACGAGTGTCAGACTCGAAAGTGAAATCTACATTAAATTTCTTTCGTTTTCATCGTAGTTTACTCATTTCCTTTTCTTTCGAGAAGAAGAAATGAACGTTTTCTCTTGACAATTATTATCATCATCAGAAAACAAAAGACCAATCTGTAGGGTAATCCTTTTCATTTTGAAAGAAAGTTCCGTTTAAGTTAATACTTTTAGATATGCTCTATNAAAAGAAATTTCAGTAAACAGAACAGTGTGTAAAAAACCATCTCTCTGTCATGGTTTCGTACATAGAACGTACGGATAGATAATTATTAGAGACCATTAACTCTTATTTTATGCTCTATAAAATGAGACTTTTCGAGCTTCACACAACCATTCATTTCCGAGATATGAACTTTTTAAGATTTATCAACACTTAGCTGAAAAAATCAAGTTTTTTTAACTTTAAATATTTTTCTGATTTTTTAAAAGATTAGCGAATTGATCAAAATAAATAACACCCAACTGAAAAATGAGTCTAGTGTGTGTGATAGAAATGAACGTGCCATGTGACAGAAAATGCTGACCTCTTTGATGAAATACTCAACGTTTGCGACTCACCATGAACTAATTAGCGAATCGATTAGGAAGTAAGAACAAGTGTCTCATATACATTGTTCGAGATTAGATTGATTTTTTTTCTTAAGGGGAATTTTCTGAAAAGCTCACTTTTCAATTGGCCTTACTTACGCCCCCACCCTCCCCTGAAATTTCATCTGATCGGGCTAAGAATTTTATCATCGGGATAAGGATCTCGGAGGCTTAATTTGTTTTTAAAAAATATCGTTTCAGTCAAAAGTTATATGCACAAGAACCCTTTTGAAACCTTGGTTTTGATTTTAAAAACGCTATAGCTCGACTTAGAAGTACTTTTATTTCAAAAAAAATTTAATCTCTGAGATACTTGACCAGATGATAAACTTTTTATTATTTTAATTTTTTCTGACTCAAGAAAGAATTTTTCTACTGAAAAGCAATCAGTCTTATTTTGTTTCACTCAAACGACATCATTTTAAATCAAGACTACATGTTTCAAAAGGCTGAAATTTTTATCGATCCTTGGTTAATTTCGTTCCATTTGTTGATTCCCTATGTTTTTGAAAATAATAAGAGATCTCTTTCACACAGCATAAAATAAGAGTTAATGGTCTCTAATAATTATCTATCCGTACGTTCTATGTACGAAACCATGACAGAGAGATGGTTTTTTACACACTGTTCTGTTTACTGAAATTTCTTTTATGTTTGGTAAATCCCCATAAAAAAAATCAGTTCTAGAGCTTCTTTGGTTGCTAAGATATGAGGGGGAAAATCCAGTAGAAACGCAGTAGCGCCATCTATAATAAAATTGAAATCATTCATAACTTTTAAACGAAGGCACATGCGCACAAATCCTCTTAGACTTTTTCATACTACCACGAACCCTATCGATCGACAAACGAGCTTATTTCTAATGATCATAAAAATCACTTAAAAAGAGCTGTCATATTTAAAACCTCATTTGTATGTGTTTCGTTCCACAAGAGCATCTGATAGTCTGAGAAAATGAAAAAAAATTCTGAATAAAAAATTAAATTCTCACTCACTATTCAAATCAAATAAAAAATGTATATAGCACATAATTACTCTCCTAACCAAAAACAGAGAAAAACCAAAAATTTTTAAGCAAAAATATGGTTTATGATTATGATTTTTCTTGTATATCATTAGACATTTGTAAAAACAAATTCCATGGTCAGTCAGTTGCGACCGTAAAGTAATTATATCTGTACTGCTGATGTGATAAATAAAAAGGAATAAAAAATTTTAATCTACTTTGGGAATTCGTTGAGTTCTCATAAAAATATAATATCCCAGAGAAAAAAAACGCAAAATAGTTAGCGAAACTCCTTTTCGGTACTCAAAAGACACAAAACAAAATTATTATTTCTTTATTACTTGGTTGTTGTTGTAATTTAAACTTCTCTAATTTTTCATTAAATAATTTAATCTCATCTAATGTGCGAAATGTAGCAAAATATTCATTATCCACTTGATGTAATTCTATTGTCGAAGACTCTGTTGGTTGTTCAGCTAATTTTAATGTTAATTTCGAAAATAAAGATTGTTTTTCTTGATTAATATTTTCTTCTTCAGTATTTTGTTTATTATTATGAGGATTTCTAGCAGACGAACGTAACGATGATTTACCACTTGTAGATGATTTTATTTTACCCATTTTGGTATCTAGAAAAAATTGTGGATTAGAAAATTTTTACTGTTTCCACATTTTTTAAAGACTTTCGACGGTAAGAGCAGTCTGTAGTCACTCATTGTTCAAAATCCAATAATAACGAAACAACGACCATATTGTGCGATCACTAATAACAGTCAATCCGCTACCGAATAAGAGAAAGTGCATTAGTATGCCACTTTATAAAATATATCTGCAGCATCAACGAGCTGCTTAAAAGCTTATGAACTTCAAACTTCTCACACTCGATTTACGTAACAAAAATACATAATGTATTAAATTACTGTTCAAGCGCAGTAGCGCCTTACCTTAAATACTGTATTCGGTAATAAAAAGTACTAAACTGACGTTTTTCAAGACTTAACAAACCCTTAATATGTTTCTAAGTTCATCCTTATTTGTCGGGGTGCACATACTAATATAAGTAGTATTCCTGGTGTGACCTCTAGCAGGTACAGAAGAATGGCTAAGTGACCTCTATATTATCTTTGAGATGCGAATTATGTACGAAATAAAAGAAGAAAACTGCTAAAACAGCATACATAATAAACATTCAGAGACTGTAACAATAATGCGGTGAATGATGATGACATTTTTATGCGGCAATAATAGAAGATTCCCATGTCGTCAAATCGGGAAGAAATGGCTGATTAAACGCATTTAACCAGCAGATTAATTGTGAACTTTATCGTGATTTTTAAGCAGAATATTTTGCTGATTGGTCGCCCTTAATCGAGATTTATCAATGAGTTTCTCTCACAAGCGGATGAATCAGCAAAATATTCTGCTTAAAAATCGTGACTAAGCGCACAAGTAATCTGCTGGTTAAATGCGTTCAATCGGCCATTTCTTCCCGATTTTGACAACATGGATGGTTCTTACAAAGTCAAACGTATTACAGCTTTAGGTTTCACAGTAAGACTTCTGAAATACTCGAGAAGGCTCGAGAAATAATTGTCTAGAAATACCTCATGCCAAACTTTTTTTTAAAATAGCAGTGGTATACCTCACTGCGCGGTTAACCGACGGGTAACTTATTAGACCGCGGTCTAAGAAAATACCGCACGGTAACCGTTTCCATCCATTTACCATTGTATTTTGCACCAGTGAAGATATAAAAGCAACATACCCTAGTGGAACTTCTTGTACGCAAGATCTTGGGTTAAGGAATGTCACAAGATCTTGGAAAAAACACCAAGAAGTCAAGATCAAGATCTTGGATTCTTGAATCTTTCACTCAACATCTTCTTGGCCAAGATCTTGAGTAAAAAATTTTCTTTACATTTTGTTTTTGTTTATGACAGTCACAGCCATCGGATATGCGACCATATAGAGTCATAGATTCTTCCTTAAACAACTATGATCAAAAAGTAAAAAAATTTTAAGTTATTCTAAGTGTGAAAATATTCGCACTTATATTTATACAAGAGTACAAAACAAAACGATGATTCAAGAATTTCCAAGATATTGGTACAAGAAGTCAAGAAATTACAAGATGTTCAAAATCTTGACTTCTTGAAATTTTTTGAATTCTTACACTTTCTTACCAAGATCTTGAATCAAGATCCTGGTTACAAGAAGTTTTACTACTTCTGTTCTACGTGTTCATAATGACCAAATACCGGACGGTACCGCTGGGTATACTGGAAAAGAACCGCGGTAATTTCGATTTTGCTATCGGTATAGCGCACGGGGTACTGAATGATAACCGGGCGGTACTTTTTCGATTTTCAGGACATGGGACTAGATATGATGAGAACGACCCATGTATATTAAAAAAAAAGAGGGCTGGGTATAAGGATGCGTCGTAGTGCCATGGACTCGTCCTGAACGGGTTTAAACTATTCGAAAATCACCATACTGTAGAGCTAGTTTACAGCGAATTTGGCTAAAACTAATACGGACAGCAATGACTCATCAACAAAATTTTGCATACGGAATGATTGTTATAGTCTCACCACGTTTCATAAACGCTCTCTCCATGCTGGTCCTCCAATTTACAGTGGGTGGGCCCATGGACTAGTCCATCCATTCTTTCCTCTCCGTGCACTAATCCGACTGCCCATTTGTGACGAGCCCCAGATATTTTTTCTGACTAGTCCTGAGATCTGACCCTTATCCATTTCGGGGAACCTTTCCATTTCACGTTGATTGAACACCTTTGTGTTTCTTCATCTATCAATATAGAACTTGTACCAAAGAATGTCTTTTTTTGGTATAAAGGGTGAAAAAAGACATTCTGGTTAGTTCCTGTACGGGACACTAGAAATGCGAGAATAATAGTCGATGAGGATTCTTATTTCTTGACCAAGTCATCTGAAAGTTCACTACTCTCTAAAAAAAATCCGTAGCTTATAAAACGAATATCGATTTTGGCATTTGCTCCTAATAGAAACCGATATCCGTATCGTAAAGTCCTGCTTAACTGTTTCGCAGAATACGATCAAACGGTTTTTCTCTGGTACAAAACCTAAATCCGTTTCTTCACAAGGCAAAAACATGTTCACTTTTTTGTTCTTTAGAGGTATTTTAGCTCATTTTTAAGGGTAACACATATCTAGATAATATCTCGCTACGCGGTTAAAGAAAAAAATGTTATTGATACATTGAAAACAACACAGATGAGAAAACTCGTTCTATATATATATGTAGATATATATTGAAGCATGAATATAAAAATAATTTCTTATCTAGTATAGAGTATATCTATTTATATGTTCATCTACATAACTGGTGCTGATTTAGAAGAAATTGTACTCTCTGTATCTTTCGAATAA